TTGTTTTTCTTTTTCCTCACCAACTAAAGTTCCTGTTGTCTTAATAAAGTTGCAGTCTCAGCGCTCAGTGCTCAGTGCTCAGATGTGCTGGAACTGCATCACTCCAACTAACCAACCATATCATCATCATCATCGATATGTGCTGGTTGTTGTAATTGGTTTTTGTAGTTGTTGTTATTGTTGTTATCGTGCTTATTATGTGTATCACTTCACAATGAACACTTTACAGAAGCATCACAGCAGGAAATCTTGGCATAATCTAGGCTTATAATTCAATTAATATTAAATAAATATGAGCTGTGCTGGAGAGTATCGAAACTGAAGAAGTTGCTGAGTGCATGAATCCATTAGAATGACTTGCATCAACTGATTTGCGTCTTTTTGGGTGTGCGTTGCATGGTTACAAGCCATGTAAGATGCTCGACATTCTGTCTGGCATGGATCTGGCGTGAATCTGGTATGCAATTGGCATTTTAATGTGCTGAAAACACTGAAATTTTTTAGGTGTGTCGGTTCCACTTCATTCAAGCATACAGGTGATGACATTTGTATTTCATCAAACCGGAAATAGTTTGTTTTTACATAATTGACGATTTATATTTGGAAGGTTATGAATTGAAAAATCGTTCTTTCGTTATGAACTCTTTTCTGAAATTGAAAATAGAGATCTTTAATTTTCATACTCATATAATAGAATAGTGATCAATCATTTTAGCTTTGTGAGTATTGGTAGTTGTAAGTGATATCTTATCAAAAAAAAAAAAGATAATATGAAGAACTGCAATGCTAGTTGCAATGTTTGATTAATGAGCAACAAGTAATTTATATGAAAATATTTTTTATTTGTATAAATTATCTTATAGATGTATTATATAGATTATTAAGTAAAATGTTGGAAGTATAGACACATCAAACACAAATATTTAGCACAGTTTCTTGTAAGGAACCAGTTAAGGCAAACTCTTTGTAAAAAAAAAAATAGCTGATAGATATCACTTGTACAAAATTCAAACTAAAATAATACTACGAAAAATACCAAAAACCCTTCAGGTATATTAAAAAATATGTATAGATTTTATATTCATAAAATGTTCATGGGTCAGTTGGCTAATGAACACTGATTTTGACCTTTAAATATGTCAGGATACGCGGTCAATCGTTGCTACTTGCAGTCTCCAAAAGAAGTTATTTAGAATAATTAAATATGTATAAGAAACAATTCCAAAACCACTGATGATAGATATTACTGAAAATACCCATAAATTCTCGAAACTTTAAAAAATAATTAAAAGTTTCATTTCTATTAGAAAGAATAGTTTATTTCAAGAATTAAATTTCTTTCGTCAAGACAAATGTTAAAAATCAATTTAATATTTAAAGTATAAGGAGCAAAGATTGGCAGAAAGCAATTGCTTCAACATGAAATATCAGTATAATGGATTTATTCAAACTTTCAAATTTTAAAGAAGCAAAACATAGAATATCTTCAAAATCCTTCTGTACACAATAGTTACTTTCCGGTTCATGCAAACAAGCAGACACAAGTCTATATTCTATAACATTTTATTATATTAACATAATTCAGTTCTTGAAGTCAACTAAAAATTCATGAATTAATGCTTTATATGCATTTATATAAACATAAACAAAAGTGCTGTTAAATAGCACAAAAGAGCTATATCTAAGTAAAGTTTTCTTTCGCCTTAGTAAAAATTTAATTGAAAATTATTATTTTAGCTGGCATACAATACAAAAAAATAAAAGTACGGTTTTTATTGCAAATGTACGAAAGCTTTATACACATTATGATATTAAAGAGTACCGACTCCAAATATAAGTTATCAGTGTATTATGTTTAAACATGATCACGGACAGACTTTGCTCAAAGTTTCCCGTATGTTTTATAACAATATAAATATATAAAATATCATTAGGAAATATAGTGCCTCAACAGGTATAGCACTATATTGATCACTATTCAATTGGACTACCCCTATTCACTTATATTTAAAAGTTTTAAACCATAATAAAAACCTCTTCCTATTCTTAAAACCATACAAAGCTTATTTGTGTCTATAAGCGTTTAATAATCAATCAAATGATAACTACAAACTTCGGAAATATTTACTAAAGTACTTTGATTGATGATGTCTGGTAGTAAAAGTAAAAGTGGGAGACACGAGGACAAGGCAATCAATCAAGTATTTTAAATATATACCATAAATCGTTATTTCAACTCACCTAAGTGTTGCCAATATAAAAAGTGTTGAACAGATAATATTAAAATTAAATAATATAATCTGTTTCGAAATCCTTATGCTCAAATGACAGGTCATTGAGATTTTATTTAAGGGTTATTTTATAGTACATATGGCAACTGTATATTTTACATGTAGTTTACAAGAATATTTCGATTAAATTTTAACTTTAATAAAATTATCACAAATATTTTCTATTTAAAATCTTTTAAATATAATCTATATAGTATTTCGATAGTAGCGTGCGGAACAAGGAGTATTAAACAGATGACTAAAGCGTAGTAGTCAAAGGATGTCAAAATTGTCAGATATGTATATAGTTAATTATGATAACATATCAATAAGTTGTTAGAAAAATATAAAGTGTACCTCTCTGGAATAATTTAATTTTATTTCCTAATATAGTTCCGTCCTAATAATTCAGATTTAATTCAATGAAATAAGATAGAAATATATACGATGTAAGATAATAGAAGTATATGTAAGATAAAATCGGTTGCCATAAAAAATTAAATTTTAGAATGAGACTTTGCCTGACTTTTCTTGTTCTAACAAAAGTCCTGCCAAATTTTATGCTGAATAAGACATCAGGACATCTCTTTGTCGACTGGCATAAGTACATGGATGTTACAGGCATAAGTACATGGCTGCGCATACTTCGAATGGGAAAGCTGACTTCGAAACATTTCCAAATTAAAAATCAGTCAAATACTTGCACTCATCAATGTATTTTATCCAAAATATCTCCAACATAACAACCAGCCAAAAATTTACATTCAATGATGTGTATGTTGGTATAAAATGTCCAACGCTTTCTCTAAAATGTGAAATCCAAATTGGTTCCTGGTTAATTATTAGAATTTCAACATCTTCCACTTCCACCTTCCTTTCTACTTTCTTCAATATTTAGACTTTTTTTAACCCGACAATATTATTGATCCCATTGATGTTCACTTAAAACAACTTAAGAGTAAACATTTAACTTAAAAACAAAGGTGAGTGTGACTGTTTACTATGACTATAATAAGTACATTTACAAAAAAAACTTTTCTTATTAGTCACAGACCTACATTAATATGTAAATTTATATGTAATGTAATATACGTATGTTATGTATACGTATGGTTGTTTTACTTACGACGATGGTGCTATATTCACCATTTGAAAACTTCAAACTTATCAAAATATTGTACTGGGACGTAAGCTAAAAGCTTCATGGTACATTAGAAATGAAGACATACCTACATAAAGACTTGAGAGTTGAGAGTGTGGAAAAGTATAACAAAGACAAAGTGCTGAAATTGTTCGATACTGTGGAAGCGAATACTAATTCAGAATTGCGCTCTCTCAAATCAAATACAATATATATTCCGTCAGAAAAATATACTTGGCTTCAAAGTATACTACAATAAATGTCAATTCTTTGGGTACCGAGACATAGTAGCGTATGCGGAAACGATTGCACTGACACCTAGCCAGAAAAAAAGCAGCCACACCTATGATGGGGTCGAAACCTTTTTGTAGACTAGGACATAGTACGCTCGTTTCTGTCATAAAAATATAGGACAACCAGAATGAAAAGGATTACTAGGATAATATACCAGGATTAAAACAATTCAAATCACTTATTGGTAACTATAACAATAAGAGATACCAGGATTGTATGAACTTAACAAAAGAAAAACTTAGAATCATCATAGGAATCCTAACAGGACACTATAATCTAAAATATCACAGTACAAGACTGAGTGTACTTACGGATGCAAACTGTAGATTCTGTGAAGAGAATGAGGATTCGACCACTTCTGTGCTGTTAGAATATCCTGCGGTAATGCACATATGGAATAGGGTCCTGGGATATATATATTCCTACGGAAAAGGCAATAAAACTCTGTAAAGTAGGTTCTATACTACTTTTTGTTGACGCAACAGGGCTTAGAGACTTAGAGACTCTAAACCCAGAAAGAGGCACAATAGACCAGACGTTCGCAGTGCCACATCCTCGAACAATAATAATAATACTTCTATAATATCATCTTAATAACTTATTTTCAGGACTTAACGGAACTCTTGTTACAGTGGATCATTTAAATGGTCAGAGATACTATTGAGTAATAGTGCTTTTAACATTTACTCGTGTCTCATAAAGCAAAGAAGACATGTCTTCATATTTTCAGAGCATTGTGTTCCCGAAGACCATATATTAAAAACTCATAATTTTTTGTTTAAAAATTTTTTTAATATTTTATTCTTCTCATTTTCATATAATTTCTGTTAGCTAATTTTTATTAATTTTAATAATTTTTTAAAATTTAATTTGGCAATTAATATATACAAATTTGTTTATATAAAGGAGCGTAAATACAAAATTTTTCTTTCTTTCTGCACGCAATCCTTTTAATTTTTGCTTTATTAGTGCAATTCATCCTTTTTTACAATTAAAAAACAATAGATAAACAATAACAACTTTTATATTTAAACACTAAAATTATAATAAATTGAGAAAAATATTTACAAAAGCAACAAAACTTCTTTATTGCGCCGATAGGGAAGGTAAGCCTTAAAATTACAAGGATCAAACTATAAGTATAAATAAATAATTTCCGCTTATCCTTTTTACAAGTTTTGTATATATATTTCGAGTTTGTTTGTTTTGCTTTAAGGAATAAAAATTTAATTAAATTATTTAATACAAAATTTTAAGAAAATTAAGGAATGCCAATTCAAGCTTAAACAATAACTTTTTACAAAATATAAGTAAAAATTTACAGATGCTTAAAGCATCGAGGATACACTTAAACTAGGACTTTTAACTAAATTACGTTTTACTAGTGTAGATTCTGTCTTAATAAATTTGCTAAGCCTAAGATTATAGTTTCTTGTACACTTTACAGTTATTAGCATTTAAAAACTATTTTTTTTAAATTAATTTTAAAAAGTTTGCATTTAGAATTTATATGATTGATCTAATTCCATTATCGCTTAATGATTTTGTCATGAAACATTTGTCCTTAATACTGCTGACATCTTTTCGCAAGATTTCATGTTCCAAAAAAAATCTTATTTAATGTAAATTTTTCTTGTTTTTTGTTTTTTTTTTTTTGTTAACAAATTTCATCTTTCATCTTCTCGTTCCAATAATTGAGCAAATAATTTTGACACAAAAGTGCTGAGCTTCATGTGACCTTGGACGTTTCTGTCTTAAAATGATTTGCAATTTTGACTAGGTTAGGACGTTTTCATTTTCATTGGGAAATCTCCTTTTTAATAGTTATGAGCGCTATTCTAGTGTAGGTTGGAGTGCTCTAGTCACACTTCACTTTGCATGCAGTGCACACTGGAGTCTTGCGATAACTCATCCATAGATGACTCTGCAATGAAATTGAAAAATAAATATGAATTAATGAAACTTCTTTCAAAAAACGGTTGCGATGAGAAGATAAAATAATTGTCTATACTTTTTTGGTGTCAAACTTTTACTTAAACAGGGCGCCCCAATAAACTACAACTTTTAAGAAGACCTTACTAAAAAGAACGTTGTACCAAGAGAAAAATATAGTAAAAAACAATTTTCCTAATCCATTCGAATTTTCCATATGGAAACATTTGAGTAGGCTAATAAAAGAATCGTCTTCCGCATAAATGTGAAACTACGTATTCTTTACTCGTCATGAAGAATAGCTTTCTTGATTTCCTCAACAAATTGTACGCTGCACGAATACGATCTAACGTTATTTTTAACCATCAAGAAGAAAAGCTTTCAATGTTCTTTAATGTTCTGATATTTTTTACTGACCTTAATCTGTAAATTCTCTCATAACAAAAGGTGTTAAGGTTTTATATATAGTGACCTCTACAGTAACCGTGGAGGTTACTGTGCACTCAAAAATGTATGAGGACTTTGCCTCTGAACGTGTAGTTTGTGAATGTTGATGAACGTTAAAATTTTTATAACCCTACGAATAGCTCACCACCCTAAATTACCTTCCCAAATTGTGCATACCGCACACAATACCAAAATTGATTGCAACTAAATCAAGCCACCCTGGTCAGTTCTAAACAATGGAAAAAACACAAGTTATTGAAAAAGCAGCACTTTATTGCAAAACAGTGACAATGTGTTGCAGAATTTGATATAATCATGGAATCATAGTTTTTAAAAGACGTTAGTGGCACAGCAACTAACGACAGTCTAAAAAGTAAAACTATTTGCCATCTCGCATATTTCTTGCGCGGGTCTTATTTAATCTATTTTATAATCTTTCTCTGACTAAATCAGAGAAGTAAAATATCTTCTGTATAGAATTCATAGCTGACTAAATTTCTTAAAAATCATAGTTTTAATTTTTAAAATATTTATTCAAAATTTTCCTACAAAAATTTGATGCGCAATTTTGTTTTTGCCAGCTAACAGCTACTGTTAGCTGGCAGTTCTCAATTGTTTTAATTCAAATTGTAAATTTTAATGTGATAACATTAGTTCCAATTTAGCCTAGCCACGACTCTCTATAAAACTTGGCTTTATGTGAGCAAACAAATATGGTTCTAAAAGTTTGAATTTTAACGTATATTTTTGGACCATATTGAGAAAAAAAACCTTGTCTCTGTAATAAAGGTATACTAAATTTTTGATATTAAAAAAACTTTTTATAATGAACACTGACTGAATGTGTAAGTGTGAATTGAAATAGTTTACTTCATAATTAATATTTTTAAATTACATTTAATCGAAAGATAAATATATTTCTGATTAAGGACATTTTTAATTTCTTCTTTTATTGACTCATATTGGGTATTTCTTTTCCAACAAATTTTCATACATTTTTCAACTTTAAGTACGATAGCTTACCATGTGTTGGATATAGTCCAGACTTATTTCCATTCAGTTGCATAGGATTTTGTCCATTATTCTGAAATGAGTATGTTAACTGCAGGTTAATATGGCGGGCAAATGAGCTTCCTTCGGGTTCACGCACTGTAATCAAAAACATGTAATAAAAAATTACAAATTATTTTTTTAATATAACTACTTTTATTCTTAAACTACAATTACATACACATGCAAGTATACTAGTACGAGTATTAAATGTTTTAAAGAAGTTTTAAAAAACTAAAAAAGCGTAACAGATTACAACTACTCATGCCTAATGTAATATTTATAAAATGAACAAAAATCCTCTACGGGTCTTATAGTAAGTAATTAAAGACTGATTAAAAATTTCTTAAACAAAACAAAAGAATAGCTTTCAGTGATTTCGTTAGCATGGTTGACTTGTTAGTATGAGTATGATGAGTATGATATTCGTCTTATACATTAATTTATCACATTTGTTACGGAAAGACATATATATGAGTTAACACATATCAATGGATTGGACTATATGCTATATAAATAATATTGTATGTATAAATACAGCATTCCACAAGCATGCAATTGCAACACTGCCGCATGCATTTCGTCATGCACAGCAACGCAGCTGCAGAGGATCATTCACATGCACATGCACTAATTCACTACTCTAATCCACTACTTACTTTTATTCTTACCAGCATGAATATGTTTTTTTTGACGTGCACGCGAATTCTGAAACCAGACTTGCGTCACACGTTTACTAAGACCTGTCACCGATGCTATCCGCTCCAAATCCTGACCATCCGGATTACTGTCGATCTGAAAGTTGGCTTGCAGCACTTGCAGTTGCTCCTCCGTGAATGTGGTGCGCACGCGTTTCGTTTTACTTTTGTGATAACCATCACCATCACAGCCATCTGAGTTGATAAGTGCAATAAAAAGAAAGAAACAACAAATTAAAAATATGCAATAATAATAATAAAAATAATAATAAGAGATATAATCGAAAAGGCTAAAAATATTGCAAAAATTGCTAAGCAGCAGCAACCAGTCCGAAGCATTCAAGGTTTTAAGTGTATTTTGACAGTAGCCCAAATTGAAAATGTCAAATAAAAATGTTTTCGACCAAAACAGAGAGTGGACACAGTGACATGTTAAACCCAAGCACCCAAGCACCCAATCGAATATAAATATGTCAACTAGATTTAAGATTGTTGGTGGTCGTTTAGAACAACTCAACTTTTGATTAAAAAAAAAAAACTAAAGGTCAGATTTTTAGGCTACTGTAATCGTTGGATACTAGTTTTTATATCACAGATTAAAAATAAAACAAGAAAATGAAACTATAGGTTATCTTTTTAGATTTCTACAATCTTTGGATACTAGCTTTTATGTCTCAGATTTAAAAAAAAAAAGAGAACAAATAACTATAGTTCACACTTTTAGTTTTCTTCAATCTTGAGATATGCACTTGCTTTCAAATTACAAAAACAACAAAGAAAATAAATTTAAAAAAAGCTATAGGTCACATTTAGACTTCTTCAATTGCTGGATACTAGTTTTTATAGGTATCACAGATTTGAAAAAAAAGTAAGTAAAATCTTTAAAAAAAAGAAAGTTATCTAAAAAGGTTACTTTTTAGATTTCTTCAATATTTGTACATTAGCCTTAATGGATCAGATTTTAAAAAAATGAACAACTATATAAATAAACAACTGAATAACTATAGGTCACACTTTTGTTTTCTTCAATCTTCGGATACTAACTTTCAAATTACAAAAACAACAACAAAAATAAGAAATTTGAAAAGAAAATATAGGTCACACTTTTAGACTTCTTTAATTGTTGGATACTACTGTTTATGTTACAATTAAAAAAAAAGCTATAGATCACACTTTTAGACTTCTTAAACTTTTAGATCATTTATGCGTTGGTTACTAGCTATCATATCTAAGATTTAAAAAAGAAAAAGGAACATAAAACTATAGATCAGATTTATTTAACCCTTGGATACTAGCGTTTTATATCTCAGATTTAAAAAAAAATGGAACAAAATACTATAGGTCAAAAAAAGCCTTAGATCACACTTTTAGATTTATTGAATCTTTGAATATTACTTTTTATGTCACAGATTAAAAAAAAATAAAAAAAAAATAGATCATATTTTTACATTTCTTCATCTTTGAAGACTAGCTTTCATATCTAAGATTCAAAAAAAAAAGAAAAAGGAACAAATAACTATAGGTCACACTTTTAGACTTCCTTAATTGTTGGATACTCTTTTTTATGCTACAGTTAAAAAAAAAGCTATAGGTCACACTTTTAGATTTATTTAATTGTTAGATACTAGCTTTCATATCTCAGATTTGAAAAAAAAGGAACAATAAACTATAGGTCAGATTTATTTAATCGTTGAATACTAGCTTTAGTATCTAAGATTTAAAAAAAAGGAACAAAAAATTATGGGTCACACTTTCAAATTTCTTCAATCTTTGGATACTATCTTTCATATCTAGCTTTCATATCACACTTTTAGACTTCTTTAATTGTTGGATACTAGCTTTCATATCTCAGATTAAAATATATCTCAAAATAAAATATCTCAAATAAATACCTATATCTTATATCTCAATATAAAAAACACAATAGATCATATATTTACATTTCTTCAATCTTTGAAGACTAGCTTTCAAATTACAGATAGATATTACTTTTCTTTTTTTTTAGAAAACGTAATATGTTAAAAAGTATCTAACTTTTTGCTTGTATTTTGCTAAACACAGTTTGTGCTACATTTAAATTTTTTTGTGACAAAAATGCCACAAACTGAAAGCCATGACAAAAAGCTTTTGAAAGGCATGCAGACTCCAGACCCAAGTGATTTAAGGCTTAAAAGCGAAACAACTCAAAATATTGTACAAATATTCCTACACAATACCAACAACAACAACAACAACAAATACAATAGCAACAACATGAATTTACTCGATGTTAGTCTTTGCTGTCGTACTTGTCAGTTTTGTTGTTGTTGTTGTTGTTGTTGTTGTTGTTGTTGACTTTTGGTTTTTGTGCGGGTTTTTGTTTAGAGTTTCCAAAGGCACGATTCTTGCCAAATGGCGTTTGTGTTACGCATTCGCTGTTCTTTTACACTTCAAATGTGACACGATTTTTGTCAGTTACTGACGTCGCGACGTCAACTATTCGAACGTGGCAAAACTGATGTTGTTGTTGTTGTTGTTGTTAGTACGTGCCGCGACATTCACACGTAATTCATCATTGCTACCGTGCGGCATCATAAATTCGCTAGTGTCGTAAAAAAAGCATAGAATTGAGTAATCGGTAAAAGCAAATACTTAACATTTTGGAATATAGAAAGAAGTTTCTTTTGCATCCCAAACACTATGGGATATAAATTCCCAAAGAAATCACCGAAGAGACGAAGCTCTTATATTTTGAATCATCTGAACACATATTCTCTAAATAGTCAAAACTGAGCAACTGCAAATTTATTTAACTAAAGAACAAACTAGTTATTAGTGAAAGATTAGTTCAGATTATTTTTGTTGAGTCTTTTCCGAGTTAGTGCATCTGGGCACTTTTACTTTATGATGGCTGGGGGGTTTCTGCAGACTCCCACCCATCTCACTGACTAATTTGAGTATTCCTCATAATCTTCGTGATTATTTAATGATTGATCTAAGATCTGCGTACCGCCTCCTGCGTTTAGTGATTACTCTAAGGTTAGATAGTGCTAATTAGAATATTATGTCGCATATATTACAATGGTTAGTACTATATCTGTGTCGCAGTGTAATAATACATGTATTTGACCGCTTCGAAGTGTGGAAGAAATGAAAAGAAACCACGGTTTTGATTGATCATAGAAACTCTAAAACAACTTATTTGGGTTTAACATACGAATTTGTATATAATATAAAAACGGCGATGAATAGTAATATCAAAAATTAAGAAAACAATCCGTATTCTTTGGAGAGCCTTTATACTATAGTAAATTGTATACTACATCTGAATTTTATGTTTAAATCATTTATATTATTCTTTCAATATTATTCTTTATGAACTATACCAACTCTACAATGACCATAATGTAAAAAGCCTAAGTAAACCTAAGTTATGCTGGATTTATTGTTTAAACAGATGAAAATAACTTATATAAAGGAATATTAAAAGCTTGACCTTGTGACAGACGTACTCGAAAAACTCTGCGGTGAATCGACCTTAAAGAAAGATTGGAGCATCAAATCGCACAATAATAACCAGGAAATATAATCAGTAGAAATAAAAAATCTGAGGCCTGTAGAAAGCACAGATTTTGATTTCTTTTTTTTTTAATACTAAATATGTAAGTACGTAAACTAAATGAGGCAATAAGATTAATTTCAATTGGTTTTAAGGTTTATTGATTACTCTTTTTTTTTTTGGTTATTTTGATAAGAAAGTTAGCCCGACAATGAGATTTAAAATTGATATAGCAAAACACGAATTTCTTGAACTTGGATCTGCATAGTTTAGAAGAAGTATAGAAAAGTAAGTATAGAGTCTCTAATTATAACACAAGGTAAAAGACTACAATTTTATATAAAATTACTAATAACTTTGATTCACAATTATCAGTTACATTTTAATGCGATTTCACAACAAGTAACTCAATGGAATAGGCTTAGTCTCAAGTCAATCTCTGAATGATTTTTATACATAATTTTTAGTTAAATTTTAAAATATTTTTATGACTTATACTTTATTCACAAGAGAGTTTTTTTTGAATAACAATTGTCAAAATTTATTAAAATGATATCTGATATAAAAAAGGAAAAATGTTTTTATATGCCTTAGTGTTATTGTGCACTTTTACTCTTTTGTGGCTGGGGGATTTATCCCTGCTCCACACTATGCTTTAACTATACTGAAATTCATATCCTTTATTTATCGAGTAACTAATTGACGGATGTCAAAAATTATAAAAATCACATCTGATATTAGAAATCAAAAACAACTATTCATAAGACTAATATTGCATTTACAAGTGAACTTTGTTTCTGATTATTTGGAGACTTGTTCCTGATTTCGATAGCAAATGAAGTCGAAATTGGGAATAAGTAGAAATGACAGTTTTTATTAAAAATAAAACTCTCGTGTGAATACAATATTAAATAGCAATTATTTCCTTTTGGTTACTCGTTACATTTTGACTCTAATCAGAACCTTTCATTCATTCATAGCAAGGCAAATGGAGCTTTCAAATTGTTAACATGTGTTTTGGTCTTGTTACTTTCATGTCATGCATTCACTACAGTTCCGCTATGTACCTTGTTTTTACTTGTATCTTTGTATCTACAACCACTTACTTTTTGTTCTTAAATATACATAAAAACATATATATATATATATATGTATGTATGTATGTATGTATAAATGTTGATATTGCAAATAACTTACCGTCACTTGATGTGGTGCCACCTTCAACAGTTTCCAAATAATGTGCCTTGCACAAGACCCTGTCATCCATGAGTGCAAATTGTTCGCCGGTGGAAAGTTGACGCCCGCATTGATCGCATGCAAAACAAGCCAAATGAAATACTAAATCACGTGCACGTCTCACCCAATCGGAGGCGGAAATACCACGACAGCATTTGGAGCATTTAGCGCCAAAATTTCTATAAAAAAATCACAAAAAATATTTTTTAAAAAAAATTTAAAAAATAAAAGCAAAACTTTATTATTTTATTTTTGTTATATATTTAATGAAAGAAGTGTGTTAAAATAAATGTAACGGTGGAGTTGAAAATTAATTGAGTTGCAACAGCAACAACAACAAAAACAACAACAACAACGAGAACGAATCATGTTGCTGCATTTTAATTCGAGTGGAAATTACAAGGCAAAAAAGTATATAAAGATGAAAAGCTTAAATAAACGTAAAACGTCGCCGGAAGTGGTCTGTGTGTCATGTCTGCTGCTTTGGTCTCGCAATGCATGACACTTTTTCAAATATAAAAACGTTGCATGAATTGCTTACGACAATTTAACTAACAAGGCACAAAAATATGTTTGCGTACACACGTATAACTTGCTGGTGTGTATGCGTGTATGCGCAGGTAGTCAGTCGCATTTATGCTTGCAAGATACTATTACTTGTTTTATTTGTTATTTGAAGCTTATTTCGTTTATTTAATTTTTTTTTTTTTATTATTATTATTATTTTATTATCTTTTCTAATACTTAAAATTCTTAACTTGAAAAATAAATATTTTTACAGCATCAGTCAAGTCAACTGCAAGTCAACAACAACTTGGCTATTTCATTGTTGCTTTCAATACATAAATTCAAGTGTTTATGTTTGCGTTTATTTAAGTCTGTTGGGACAACGGGGACACCTCATAAATGTACAAACTCATGACAATCTTCGATTGAATCGATTTGAAACGAAATCATATGAAAACAACATGGACAACTCTTGGACAACATGGAAAGTAAAGTAACCAGTGTACAAGTTATTTTATTTTAAATTTTTTTTTTTTTTGCTTTTTTTCATTTTGTCATTTTGTCATTTCAATTTTATTATTTTTCTTTATTGAATTTCTTAATTTGTGATTTTCGATTCACAATTTTCCTTACTGCATATTTGACTTTTTATTGACTTGAGCGAGCGTTGCCATATGAAAAGTTTTGTGCCTCGTAGCACTTTGTTTATGTTACGGATTAAATTGTTGAATTTAATGCGAGATGAAATCGAAGAAATGTTACAATTACAACAATTTTTCATTTCATTTTATCAACGAAATAAAAAAAATTAAAATGACAAATTTTTTTTTTTTATTTTTTAACAATTTTAATAAAGTGTTAAAAGTGTGGGAATAATTTTAGTTGACACCTGAATACACATTGAGCGTCACTTCACATCACATCACATAACAAGCAGTGCATATTGGTTAACCCGTACGATTTGTATCTGTAAAGTGAAATGCTCCCATCTTTCTGGCTCTGAAGAAGCATAACAGAATTACTTCATACAATTTAATTGAAATGCAATACGTTTCTGTTGTGTTTGTAGAAAAGCTTATGAAATTCCCAAGTGGTTCACTAAATTAAATACCATTCCATGCGGGTATGTAACGCAACAAATAATGTCAGTTACATACTACATATATGAAATGAAAGACCGTCTTAAAGCATTAAAGATACATACTATTTACTAAAATGATTATTTCTTTATATTTTCAATTATAATTATGCACTGATATTTGCATTTATAATAGATACGAACATCAATATCTGGAAGTGCTTTATTTATGGAATATTAGAAATATTATATATGGATCCTTTTTAAAATTATTTACTAAAAGAAAAATTTTTTTGTTTTGAGGAACAAAATAATTTTTTTGTTGTAGTTCAGTACTTTTTGGAAACCTCTATTTTTACTAAAAATTCAATTTACTATCTTTACAATGCAACAAATTGTAGATATCTATTATTAACAGAGCCTGAGATATGACCATTTAAAAATAGGCCTAAAATGCATATTTTCCATATTTGTAATTTCTAAAAAAAAAATTTGAAATTTATTCCCGAGACTACCTCGGTCTCAGGGGTAGTCTCGAGACCAGGAACTCATAAAAAAAAATTCAGTCAAATCGTAAGTTATAAGGTTAAAAACCATTGCATTTATAAGAGAATGACCCATATATCCTTAATTTTCGTATAATAAATTGGTATATGCTACTGGAATCACTGGATTACAACAATATACATTACACACACTGACTTACTTTAAGTTAAACGACTAAAATAATAATAAAATTGAAAAATATTTTCATCTTTTTAAAATAATTGAATCATAAGAAAGAGATTATGAATCAACTGTCCTGCTGAAAGCAAATAGTTATATTGCAAGTCATTATTTATCTCACAATATTTCAATTTTCATTTCAGTAAAATATATAATATATAATTAAATAATATAATATATACATATTTGTATACATAACTTTACAAATGAACACTCAAAAAAATATGTTCTATATGCTCAATATAAGAAGCAACATCTGGTACGGTTGAACCAACACAATGCGTCGAGAAAAAATATTTTGACCTGTGATTTAATTAAAATCTGGTTAAATCAATCAAATTATTTTTCTGTGTATAAATATACGTATATACCTTATTTAGGTTAGGTTAGGGTATGTCGATAATGCTAAGGATCCACGAAGACTTTTTAGCCGATTATGTTACTGTAAGAGAAACTAAGCGGTTTAAAAACTACCTTTAACTTTTAGCAAAGTTTACCTAAAATGCTTCTTAGAGAAAAGTCCTGCAATTTGCTAAGATTCTCCAAAAAGCAAGTCCTCACAATAATAAACCGGAGCTCAGTATGAACTAAGCAGTAATTAAACAGATGTGAGGTACTTTCATTGTTCTCTTCCCAACTACAACAGGAATAATTAAACGAAACATTTTCTATCTTCTAGTATAATATAGACTGGTATCTTTGTGGGCATCTCAATTTTTTTCATTTAATCCAAATAAATTTCATTTAAACAAACACACTCCTATGATATATAAAACAACATTACTGTTGTTGCAAATATGTTATTCTTATTTTGCTTGGTGTTCCAGAAACCTACTGTCGAAATTCTAGATGAGGCATGAATAAAAATAATTAGCTTAGGGAATTAAAAATTGAAGATAATATCATATTTATTATCTATAATATCTATTTATTAAAAATTTATCATTTATATATTTAAAATCAAAATCTATCCTACTACAATTCGCAACCATTTTACGTATAGAAAAATGCACTTGCGTTTTAAGGAGACAATTTTGTGAAGATAGATTCCGTTACTTTATATCATGATATCCTGAGTGACGACCATTCACCATAATTTTTTATCGCACACATGATCGTATTGACTTAGGAGAGAGACTACATTAAATAAAATACATGGGTAGTACTAAAAAAAATATTTTTCTTATTTATAAAAGAATTGCTTATTTTAGGACGTACTTTGTGAAGCAAATGAAATTTCATCCTAGAAACAACATCATCCTAGAAACAATTTCAATTATAAAACCCACAGACTTATATTTGATCTGAGGTCAATTATTGCTTATTCTGATGAAGTGATAAACAATAATCTAGTCAAGGCGCAAAGAGAGGTTTTGAAGAAACCTCGTAGTTAATAGAGAGTAAAAGTGCTCAGGTGCACTGACTCAACTAGCCTCAACATAATAATATATTTGAATCGTATGGTATTTTAAACTTCCACAAAATCAATTTATTTATTTATTTTTTTTTTTTTTGGTACAAATCAACGATATATATCACATATAAAACTACTTGGCCATGAGATTTTGCAATATTTTATGTTAAAATATTTAATCTGAATAATTCGATTTATTGCGTGCTACGAAATATTGATTTATCAGTTGTGTATTTTTAATTTTTAGATAAAAATGCAATAAGAGGGTGTGCTTTAATATTCAATTGGTTGATACTTGAATCTTGCCAAACTAGATAAATCTAATTGATATGTACAAAAATTAATACAAAAATTATTATTTATATTAATTTGGTTTTAATAATATAATAGTATTTATATGGTATTCGATCATTAATAATATTTTTAATGCAACATAAATAAATATGAGATTAAACTTGTTAATTTTATGTTCCTTAAAAATTAAAACCAAATGGGAAATAAAAAAGTGTCATTCAACTAAACAAAACTGTAGGTTGGGCTTAGTGTAATATATTAAAGATATGACATCGTTTTTGGTTATAATGCTTTGAAATATATTTGTTTATAACTAAACGCATATATACATACAGCCCAGGGCAGTAACAGTGCTGTTTAGCGTGGGTACCTGCCATTAAGGGTTCAGACCACGACGCTTTACAAACACATGTATTAAGATAATGCGCCGATAAACGCCCCATTGGAAATTCTAATGAATTTCCGCCGGCACCAATAAAGTTATGTATAGCTCAGGTAAAATGCTATTTTGACATTTTATTTTTTAACTGAATACACTCAGATGTTTATTTCGATCGGTCATTCAGTCTTTTTTTACAAACCATTTAAAGCTGACGAACATCGAAGTTCTTTGATTTAAAAGGTTATTAACAGCATAAATTTATACAAAAATGGTAAATTTACAAAAGAATCTGTTCCCTTATTTCCATCCATGCATCGATGGGTCTTAGAGTTTAAACGTGGGCGTACAATCATTGAAGATGAACCACGGTATAGACGTTCAACAGCACTAAGAATTATTGAGAAAGTCTACGTTATTGCTCGTAAAGATCCAAGTTTGTCTTAGAGGTTGTATGGAAGTGAATGTCAATGAAATGGGCAGGCATTCCACGGATAGTTGTCATTCCAAAACAATTATTAAGTAATAATAAATATATTAATGTACTAAAAATATAAGTTTAATAATAGTGATTTACATTCAGGATCTGTAATGTAATAAGTAAATTAAGTATTGAACTCATTTCTTAAGCATCACGTGAATGCAATAAACCTTTTCCAATAGGTTCATTCTGACATCATATTCCAATTACCTCATCTAGTCATTCGCCTATATTTTCTGCAGAATCCTAAAAAAACGTTGTCATTGTTAATTTGTATTTAATTAACAATTTCACTATATTAGCAAACAGATGTTGTAAACTGATTGCCAGACGGCGCCAAAAATTAATATGGAACCGCTAACAATGGAGAATTTCTTTGCTATCTCAATTATATCGTTTTAAATTAGAAATTGCTTAAAGTTTTATAAATTGAATTTAGGCTATGACCAAAGACATAACCTGTTAACATCGACATATATATGTTAGAATTGATACCAACTTCTAATATACATTAATAAAATTTGTTTTTTTCTTTTTTAATTTTATTCGACTATGGCAGTATAAGAAATACTAAGATGAATTTACAGTCTAGTATGTAAGAGGGGTGGAAGTTATTGGAATTAATGAATACCAGTAAACATAGCAGTCTAATTCTGTGTATTATATTCTGTGTAAATTATATATTAATATAAAGCTATGAGTAATTTAAATTCAACGTTAGCAAACTTAATACTTGTAGACACGGCACAACTCCGTCGGTAAGGAAGATTTGGTTTTTTCTACAGATTTTGGAAAGCAATTGAAAAACAGAAAAAGTTATGCTGGAACAATTTGTTAGAACTATCGCAATTAAAATTACTTATAAAAACTTTCCGCTTAAATCGACTTAATGGTATTCCGCAATTATTATAAATAAAAACAACTCATGGGAATTATTAGATTTTTCATCTGTATCGATTTAAGGAATTATTGAAATTAAATAAAAAGAATTTATAAGAGTTTTAACAGGTTTCTATAGACTAACCTCTCACCTCTCATAACTGGAGATTTGTTTTTATGCTACTTGTATGTTATTGAGGTAGGATTATGATATCGCAAAATATGTGCTAATATCTTATTCTACACTCATGAGCAAATGACGAATATATTTAGGTGTTTGTCATATATTGGATCAAAAAATAAAACTTAGTAAAGTAGGTACGTTAGTTTAATGTTTTTTAGAAAATTGTTTTCAGTGAAATACTCTAAATCTATGGAGAGGATACAATAATTCCTTAGGTCACAGTACGAGTTACCTTTCAATAATAACAATTTAGCTTAGGTTGAATTTAAGAATAAAATCTTGATATATTCCATATAAACTCCTTAAGCGTCCATTACTTTAGAATTTTTGAAAGGGAATATTCAAAATTTTAGTTTCTCTTAACAGAATTAGTCTCTTTCTCTATTAAAAAAAAAGAATTATGATAAATTGTAGTCAGATTTCTTGCAAAAGCTAAAGATCTACACTCTAAGTGAAAGCTTTATAGTTTTTCTCTTTTCAGTTAAAAGCGGACTCAAAGGAATAAAAAGAATTAAGAAAAAATGTTGCTAGCTTCTTTGCTAATGCTGGACATCTGCAGTAATTCAGTTTTCTGAATTTTATTTTTTTCTTAACAAAGAACTAAAACGAAAACAAAAAAATTATGATGGATTGTAGACAGCTTTCTTATTAAGGCTGGCATCTACACTATAGTGAAAGCTTGATAATTCTTTTTTCTTTTAGCACAGGATTCAGGGAAAGAGAAGAGATAGCAAATGAAGAGAAGATAAGAAAAGTAAATAAAATAAAATAAAATAAAAGAAAAGAAAAGAAAAGAAAAGAAAACAAAAGGAAAGAAAAAAGAGAAAAGAAAAGAAAAGAAAAGAGAAGAGAAGAGAAGAGAAGAGAAGAGAAGAGAAGAGAAGAGAAGAGAAGAGAAGAGAAGAGAAGAGAAGAGAAGACAAGGGAAAAGAAGATAAAAGAAACACTGATTTCAATCAAATTTAGTGATAGAACCTCTCTTTCTTAACTGAGGACTTAAAGGAGGAGAAAGATTTTCAAAGGTGTTTTAACTGTAAACTCAAGTTAACTTCAATTCGTTAATTTTATTAATTCTGACATTCTTTTACTTTTGGTTTATTGATTGAGTGTTCTGGTCAAACCAAAAAGATAATATATATATTAATTTTATTATAATTTACTTACTTGCTATAATCTGCTTTGCAATAGACTTGTCTTTCTCGTATATAACATGATTGCTGTCGATCCAAAGGACACAGACAAATGCAACACCTTAGGCAGGTGGCATGCCATGAACAACCGCCAACCTCGAGAAAAAACCTATCCGAGATTGGCTCTCCACACGCCGCGCATGAACGCAGCTCAGTCTAGAAATAGAATAAAAATCGAATAATTATTTTTATAAATATATTTTACATATAATTCTATAGAAAAAAATTATATATTTGTCAAATTTAAATTCTAAGTTAATAAATTATTGTAGCATTCGCAAATAAAAATATAAAAATTGTCCTATTTTACATACTAATAAGAATCTATAAAATAAATATTTATATAAGATGATTTTGAGTTGCAACCCGGTGAGGTCTGGGTTGTTCTTAACTTAACCATTAAACAAAAAAAACCAAAATTTAATTTTAGAATTAATATTAATGAAACATTATGGTTTCACAAAAAATGTAAGTTATCAGCAAAATATGTAAAATAAAATGCAAATAACGACAGATTTTTTCGCAATAAAAAAATTTTTTTATTTATACATTTTTAATTTACTTTTATAAATTTAATATTTATTTAAATTTTAGAATCGAATGAAGTTTATTTTAATTTTTGCTGTTTTTCTGTGGTTTTTTTTGTGGTTATTTTGTGTTTATTTTGTGTTTGTTTTATTTTTTGAAAATGTGCTAATATACAGAAAATGCACAAAACCCGATACTGCAAAGTGTTAACCAAGTTCAAATCAGAAACGAGAATTTATCGGTTTTCATTAAGATTCGAACGTTTTCTGTGAGTTGCTGATTTAATTTGAAGTTAAAATTTTTTGCCTCCATTGTGCATATATCAACAAATTCATTTCATAAATCTGCGCTAAAACAAAATAAAGAAACAAAAATTTATTATATAAAACTACCAAAATCTGGCGCCGCGGCTTCTGTTTGAAACATAAAAATTATCTGTACCGAAATTAATAAATAAATTCAAATAAAATTAAAAAACAAGAAAATAAAAAGCTTGGAACTGAAGTATTTAGAAACGCTTTTAACTATATTCGAAATATTATTTCATCTCGGAAATTTTACTATAAATTTTTAAACAAATTTTATGCAAATTTAAGTAAAAGAAAAAAATTTATAAAGTTGACATTTCATTCGAAAGTCCCCACAAAACCAAAATTTATCCAAAATTGCTTTAATTTATAAGAGGAGTTCCAATAAACAATGAATATTTAATTTGCTCTTCGCTGTTCGGTGTTCGATGTTCGATGTCCGTTTCCAAATTTTATTACATTTCATCGCGATTAAAATAAAACAACAACACACAATTTAACACAATTTAATAATATTTTATTATAAAAATATGTTTTTTTTTTATTTATTTTCAAAGAACATCTTTTCAATATGAGTGAAATTTATGTATTTCAACTCCTACTTCGGCCTTTGTTCATATTTTAATTTTCTGTATAATTTAAAAATTAATAACAATTTGACATCAGAAATGTTTTGTGCAACAATTGTTGTCGAAAATTTCAAAAGTTTTTATTTTACAACAAATTAAAAACATTAAGAATTAAACGACACTCATTAAAGGTGACAAAATGATGGCTTTTATGACAAAAGTTATTAAAAATTAATTCAATTATAATTATAAAAACAGATATATAATTATAATGTTTTTGTTATACTTAAAAATTATGACAGCAAAAGTATTTTGTTTTGATTTTAAACAATTTTAAAAAATTAATTTGTTTTAAAATTAGTAATATTCATGCAAGCTACAATATAAGTGCATATTGGATAAGATGAACCTCGCTATATTCCTCACACATTTTGTGATCATGACTAAAATAGTAAATGAAAGCATTGACTCTTTTATATATTTTTTCTATATATATTTTTTCAATTTTTTCAATTCTTTCCTAATGCATAGAGATTATCCTCAATATAAAATATGTTTATATGCCTTGCTCTTTTGAACTTTATATCTTTCCTGATATCTATAATATATAGCACTTTCTGATATTAATTGTGCAAGCAGAATGATTACTGATTCTGCTTACATTATATATATAATTATGTAAGCAGAATGATGACTGATCATTTAAATTTTTTCCTTGCTCCTTTGAACTTAATATCTTTCCTGGTATATAGAATAAGTCGTCAATATAGAACTTTGACGCCTTTGTCCAGACTTTGTTCCGTGGAACATCATATATTTTGTGGTATATAAAGAAAATCTTTAATATACCTAGAGTTATATGATCTTCATTATGTAAGCTGAATAATCTGTGATCATTTAAGTAACAGTTTTAGGTACACAAAATTTGGCACATGTCCATATACCTTACTCCCTTGAACTTAGTTTTTTTCCTGGTGCATAGAATAAGTCTACAATATAGAATTTTCTGTTACTCAATATGTAAGCAAAATGATCACTGATTATTTCAGTACCAATTTTGGGAACGAAAAGTTTTGGATATGTTCATATATTTTGCTCCTTAGAACACTATTTCTTTCTTGGTGAATAGTCTTCAATATAGATATTCTAACATTTTTGTATATATCTGAATTATATATCTGATCGATATATGATTCTTTATGATATTCATTACTAAAGCAAAATTATCACTAGTATGATTTATGGTAAGTATTAGTTCTGTGTACGAAATATTATGCACATATTCATAGGCTTTGTTTCATAAAACGGCTTTTTATTTGTTTGTTTTGTTTTTTAATGATTTACTTTTAGGAAGTTTGAAACCCATTAATAGAGGTAATTAATTTTATTAGAAGCACACATAAAACTGATTATCTAACTCTATCTAATACTAACAGTTTTAGTTTTAACAAGATGGTACAACATGCCACAGATCGTGTGACAATCAGATGATTCAGAAAATTAGAAAACACTCATGACCAAATCAATTCGTCTTCATAATCATTTAATGTAAACCCTCTGGAGTAAATCCTATGGGATTTACAAATGTGGGATAATGTTATTATCCCACATTTGCAGAGTTATTGTCGATATATAACCTCAACTACTTGAAAAAGTGCTTGAATATGGCACTTTAAGATTGCGTTTTAATCGAGACATTCGAATGACATTAATAGCATACAATTCTTTTTTATTTTATTTTAACTATTTAAAATTTTTTTTTTTTATTTATTTAAGTTTAGTTAAATTCCCAAAAAAGCATTATTAATAATATATCTCAGTACCTGACAATACAGCTCGAATCAGTTATATTGATATATAGCTTTTTAAAAATTTAAAAATATGTTGAATAAACTTAAATTACATATTTGTAAAACGACGTATATGTATATAAGTATATAACACTAGTCATCAAATTTTAACATTATAGTTTAAAAATTGTTTTGGGATTCTTGTTCTTAGTAATTTTTAAAGCACTTACAATTAATCAAAATTTTAAAATAAAAAATTATTATTATATTATAATATATTATTATTTTTATTTTCAATAATTTAAAATAATATAAAAATAATTTTTGTTGCTGTAGTTCACTATTTTTCAAAACCTCTCTATTTTTTTATTTTATTAATGTATTATAATAATCATATTTATGTATTATATTATTGTAATTTTATATTGTAAATTTAAAAAATGCATAAGTTAAAAAATAATGTATATAATATATATAAATATGTATTTTAATAAAATATAAATAATAATACATTACATTATAACTAATTATAATATAATAAATAATTTATTACAAGTTATTATATTATTATAATAACATATTAATTTATAAAGCTATTATAATAAGTTAAGCATTATAGTTATTAATTATAATTATATAATTATAGTTAATTATGATTTTATATAAGTCCTTTAAAAATTACTAAAAATCACAAAATAATTTATAAACTTTAAAATTTTTTAAATTTTAAAAAGTTCACAAAATATTTTTCAGGATTTTTGAATTTTTAACTAAAATCTGAAAATCAGATAGACACAAAAATTGCCATATTTGCGACATGTCCTTCCTCTATTTTATGCTAATCGTAATACATATCAGAATTTTGTCTCTGTAACCTTGTGCCTAGCATAGAATTTAAAGCAATTCAATAAACCCAAAGGACATTTTACACATACATTTTAACATTTTAGGCCTTAAAGCAGCTAACAGCACAAAAATGTAGCACAAATGGAGAGTGCAAAGTAAGTTACACAACACAAAAAAAAAGAACAAAAACAGAAAAGGAAGCAACAACCAAAACACCCTTAACATCAACCATATTTGTTTATACAGTTATGTTAATGTGTGAACGAGTGTATAGCTGTGCAGTTAGCATTTAGCTTCCACAATGTCACTTCCAAATATACAACATACAAAATTTGAAAAGTTAAATGAAAGTGACAGCGCGCAATCTCGTAACTGTCAAGCAAATAAACAAACAAAACAAACGAGAAACGCATGGACAATCGTATGAAAAAATATCAACAGCAGCAGCAACAACTACAACCACATTAGCAGTTATACTAACAGTGCGAAAATGATGACAATGGTATCTCATGGTACAGGCAACAGTAAAAGCAACAAACCTTGTTGATGACGACAAGCAACGAAGCAAGCACCAAAATGAGGTACATGTTAAATATGAAACAACGTGGCGTATGCGTGTTTATATGATTTGCACGTTTTAGCATTATATGTTAAACCAAGCACATGCGGCTTACATGTTGCTGCCACTAGTGGCTGCTTTAGCTGTGGTTATTGTATTTGTTGTAATATTCTGCTACAGCGCCGTGCGCCGAATTTTGACGGACACCATATTAAGCATATGTTTTTTTTTTATATATCAATATTTTTATTGTATTGTACTTGAGTACACTAAACTCTCTAAGCGGCCCCAACCCTCTTTTGCCTTATTATTAAATTATTTTCTTCCACATTTTCCCTACATTTTGTAAATGATATCCTGCCTGTTATACGTTGCTTGGCTGTGGTAGCTATTTTAAATAAATTTGTTGTTGTTGTTGTTTGCAGTTTTAACTTTTATTGTCACCATTGGTGTTGTGCTTATTGATGTTAGTTATGATGTTATGATAGTGGTTGTTTGGTGCTTCTTTTATTGTTGCCATTCTTGCTATTGTATACAATAGCTATGCATATCTCTG